TCCCAATTGATTGGGCAGAAGATGTTTAAAAGTTTGCTGTTTTAGATGCAAGTACCTTGCAAAGCTACAGCATGTGGTGGCAAGGGATGCAGCCACGTGTGAAGCTCATAAAGCGATGTAATGCAGGATTTGTATCTGGAAAACACTCTTTCCGGATGCAACTGCATGCAAGTGGGGTGGGCGCTGGGCTCAGGAACAGGCATGCGGCCATGCTCCAGACTCGCAACCCAACGCGGAAGACTAATGATGGTAAAGGATTCTTTTTCACCTGGTGTATAAGATGACCCCCCCTTTTTTTTTTGCTTTGCTATTTTCAGTTTCATTTTCCACGCTGGTAGATACAGTATTTTATCCTATTTCATCTTATTAAGTAAGGATGGGGGAACAATTCAAAGCAAGGCTTTTTGCCAGGTTTAGAGTGTGAGTAGCGTGAGTCAGGCAAGGTGGGCAGCACCCCACCTCAAAGCACGTCGCCACTTCTGCTCAGAGGCTGCTCTGCTCTGGCTAGCCCCCATCCCCAAAGACCTGGGCTGGGCTGCCCGCCATCCGTGCTCATGACCTGCACCCACCATTTCTGAAGCGGCAGACTCCATTCACACAAAGTCTTCATTAATTTCAGCAGGCAGCATTGAAGCTGGGGGAGAGCAGAGTTCCTTGAGACAAGGGGGTCTCCAGCAAGCAGGCCCTACAGGAAGTAGGTACAAGCCAGGTGTGTCTATACCCCTAAGCACAAAAGCACTTCATAAGAAGACATACACACACAGAGAGAGCTACGAGCCCTCAGAAGCCTTACTGCATATCAGGGAATGCATGTTTCTATCCTAGCTTTGAGCTGTGCTATAGAGTGAGATAAGCTTTCTCCCACTAAGAGGCTTTTATTTCTTTGATTTCGGTGCATGATTTCCCAGTTTTTATGCAACATCCTAATCTTGAGCCCTTGAGCTCTATTTCCCTTGCGCTACACTGCTCACAAAAACAGCATTAAATAAAAAGGAGGGGGCAGAAGAACCCTGTTGAAACTCTGTGCTGCACGGGAGGTGGAGAGGACAAGAAGCTCTTGGCACTACACACCAAATGGATTCCATTAGCCAGAAGGAATACAATTTAAAAACTGGCAGAATATCATTTCCTCTGCTGACAACATGCAGTAAAACGATAATCTAAAGTTGGGAGTATAAATCGCAACAGGCTAATGAAGTCTATGCAGTTAGGCGAGTGCTGAGACAGCAAGCGCTGTGAGAGGCACCAACTAGGTTTCAGAATGTTTTGATTCATCATTCGGATTGCTGTCATCCCCAATCTGTGACATCACAACATGTTGTACATAAATGCCATGATATGCGACAGTTCTTGGGAAACTCAGGGGACTTCCAGATGAGGCTGTCAGGATCTCATTCACAAAATTTAAGGGCAGGGGGGAGGTCCAGACAACATCTTCCCCTTGTAATCCTCACCTGCCTTCTCACTGCCATCTTTTTTGTTTTTGTTTTTTTGTTTTTTAATCCATTAAGGAGGAAAAGACTAAATATATCAGGAAGTACCCTCAGCATCTTGGTTACTCAGGTGTTGTGTTAATATGCTAGATTTTAAAACACCCTGGAAAGGCTGACACCACCATATGTGGATCTATAGACTGTTACACCTGTTGAATGAAAGAAGTGTATCACTTTTGGACCACTACGAAGACAGACCGCTGTGCTCATGGTGATCTGTGTGTGTAGAATTACTGCTCCAGTCTCTATGCTTGTCCAATGGAAATGTTGGAGACATATGAGTCTTAGGGGAGGACAAAGAGTGATTAGACATATCTACAGTGCAGACTAAGGATTTAAGGATATGCCCCTCTACCCGGGGAAGCCTGAAAGGTAAAACACCAGGAGGGATCTCTTGCAGGAAATTTTCAACACCCTCATTAAACTACAATTCACAAGATTCTTTGGTGGAATCCATAAAAGTTAAACTGTCAAGAGCGCAGTCTTGTGCACGTCTGTTCAGAAGTATGCCCTACTATTCTCTCTCAGGTATGTTTGCCCTGGATTGTAGCTGTAAGGATATGGTGTAGATTTGCCCATTAGTGCCTGCTTAGGATCTAGAATGCCCTCCACCAAGATGACACCCCAAGCCTTAGAAAAAAAGCTTCATTGTGTTCTTTGCAGCAGTTAGAAGTTTTCCTGGTAAACATCAAGTGTGGCACTTCTAGATACACAGTGGGAAGTGCCACATTCATATTCAAACTCCTGCTCAACTACTTAGCCCACCAGGTGGCCTTGACTAAATTATTCTCTCTTAACCTAATCTAGGGTTAAGATAAGGATATAGTGTTAATCCACCCTGAGCTTTTAGAAGGAAAGAAAGCTGGCCAACTGATTTTACCACTAAACTGTTACTATTAATTAACAGATCAGATATATTTGATTAAAAATAGAGAAACAGTTTCAATTGGACTATCTCAAGAAGAACAATAACAATCTACAAATTACTGTCTTGGGGGGGGGGGGAGAGATATAGACCATAGGTGTTAAAGGATAGTCTGCATCTGTATTTACATGTTTGCATAGACTGAAGGAGATTCAGATTGGTTCTTTTTCAGGCTAAACTATCATGCCATTTTTGTTGCAGTTCTCTCTTTCACTGTGCCCTCAAAGTGATGCAACAGTAGAAATCAGGTGTCCCTATGTTATATGTACAACAGTGTGTTTGCTCCTGCCTTGAACAAATAGAATCCAGCTTCAAGTATGGTATTAAAGCACCAACTTTGTCATTGCTTAGCAGAGGAATCTAAAGACATGAAATATAATTATCTTTATTCCCAAATTTTGACACTGATTCAAAGTCCCCAGTGATTCACTTGAGAATGGATGTCAGTAGTGTTTAGGATGCACGTCTATGATGTTACTTTAATCATAACTAACACCTTCTATAAAAAAATTAATGGGGTGGAGGTAAGTGCATTTTATACACATAGACATATTTTTGTAATACCATTTGGTGCCACTTTTATTTTTCTAGCGTTCAGGAAAAAAAGTCTGAAATAAAATCCAAATCATCGAATGGCCATCTGAAGTGAGGAAACAATTTCTAAATGATATTAACAATGGGGCTGATTAACTGTTAAAATTTATGCAGAAGCGGTAAAGCCAGGAAAAGAAGGATGCTGGAAATAAGAGGAGGAAAGCTAATTCATAGCTTTCCCCTCATAATAGAGATCACATTAGTGACACCGAAACAAAAGATTACTTGAACATTTAAAAAAGAATCAAATTATAAAGCGCACTTGGTATAAGGAGAATGACAGGATTAACAACTTGACACTGCTGCATAAATAATCAAAAAGAAATAGCACAATCTTCACTGGGCTCAAGCATATGTACCATGAAGGAACACTTGCAACTGTCCTTTTTATGGATTCTAGAATCATACTACACATGTGAAACACCACACTACCCATATGCCACACTTTTCCAGTGTAACCTGCCACGAACAGCAGAGCCTTCTCTTACAATTTGGTCCTACTTCATGACTTAACTAATTTCAGCAAAAAGGAGGAGAAATGAACCCAAGATGTGTTTTTAAAACAACAGCAGCAAAACAAATAGCTCTGAAGCAAGAAACAGGAACACCAGAAGAGCCCCTCACAGATCCAATTCCATAGAAGACACACAGAAGATTGTAAAAACCAAACAGTTTCCGATTGTTGATGGCTTATAGCTAGTTTTTCCTACTTCCCATGGCCCCAGTAATTTGATTGGCTCAGACACAACATGCTAATTGACTGACTCCAGAAATAGACAGTGTACAGCACTGGGCACACACAAGGACATGCTGCCATTTAGGCGTTCATTCCAAGCCTTGGAAATAGGTCTAGTGAGGTTAGATGTTCGCTGTCACCTCGCACCGCTTAGCATGCAATCAATTCCACTGCAAAAGGGGACAGATGTTTCCCCTTGTCCTGAGCACAGCTGAGCATGCCTAGAAACAAACAGTGAAGTGCTTTCCCCACCCCCGTTTTCAAAACTGTTAATCTGTCCAGTCCTGAGACATTCGGCATATATAGGTCTCCCCAAGCTCCGACTGTCAGACAGAAACTGTCCATGGGAAACACAGGATGTGTGTGTGTGTGGACAGAGCGTGTTTACCCAGGCAAACAATTCAAATCCATTAACAATGTCCAGGCGGAGTTCTCCTCCAGTGCAGCAGCTTTCGGTTCCATGAACCCTTTAAAGATCTTTCATGTAAACACAGCAGTGGGACAAGAGACGATTCCACTGCGTCCGATCCCTCACCACCCCGTACTTGCTAAGAGCGGTCCTACGACGACACACTTGCACGACTAAAAAGCCACGAAGGTTTACTTGGGCTCAAAAATTAAGATCGGATGCTCTGTTTTGACTCTTGGGGCAAGGTTTACTTCTTCCTGCTTCAGTGACAATTCGGAGGGTGTAGCTTGAAACCTGCCACAAGAGGAGGCTTCCTTAAACAAATATAACCCTTTTGTCGCCGGACTTCCTTCGCTGGTTAATTCCCTCTGCTACCTCCTCCACCAGCCCTCTGGACAAACCCAGGTAGGTTTGACTAAGCATTTGGCTGCACCATGCACATGAAATCCTGAAAAAGGTTAATGTCAACGCATGGATGCAGGAGCGCGCGCACACACGTGTGTTTGCGTGTCTGTGTGTGTTTACAGATCTGCACAATGTGGGAATGTCAGCATATATGCGCACATATATGCGCAGGATTCACACGCGTTTATAGAATGCAAGAACACCCAAACGAGGACAGTTAAAAAAAAAAAAAACGGTTGGAAAACTGCACAACGTGGGAATGTCAGCATATATGCGCACATATATGCGCAGGATTCACACGCGTTTATAGAATGCAAGAACACCCAAACGAGGACAGTTAAAAAAAAAAAACACGTTGAGAAGATTTGCACCCAGCTACACATACACACACACCCCTCTTTTGCAAGTAAGATGAAAATAAAATCAACACCAACTAACCTGCCAACGGGATGGAGAAGATGCAATAAAGGAAGAGTCCGAGTGGCAAAAGCTGGTTGGTCCACATGAGTGGTTTGGGGAGCAGTTTTTGCACTACCAAAGGTCGTTAAAGGTGGTGAAGAGGAGATGCCCAGCCGGTCAACAGAAGAGACCGAGCGAGCCGAGCTGCTTTTTATTACGTTGAGCCAAGTTTTGTTGTGTGATTAACTGGAAAAGCTCCGGGTCCCAACTCCCTCTTACGGTAAGAAACTGCTTTAACAACATCCCCCCCCCCCCCCCCCCCCCCCCGGGTCATCCCTCCCTCCCCCCCCCCCCCCCCCCCGCCTTTCATCCAACCCAGCAAATCCGAAGGGCGCAGGGACCGCCGCAGACACCTAAGAAAGGGCAGCGGCGGCCAGCCTATATTCCGTGCCACCAAGGGGGCCGGCTCAGCGCCGACACGCGCGCAGGAGGCAGCGGCAATAGCCTGCACCTCAGCACGCGAGGCTCGGAGCCGCGAGGCTCGCGGGACGCGGGCGGCGCGAGGAGCGCGGCGTGGCGAAGAGGCGCGCGAGGACGCGGAAAGTGGGCAGCGCGTGGCGGAGACGGGCCTCTCTCGCGCCCGCGAGCCTCCGCCTGCACGTCAGTCGAGTAGGCTTCTGCGGCTTTGCTGTAAGTGAAGAGCGGCTCCGAGGACGCGTCCGTAAGGGGCAAAGCGGTCTCTCGGTGGCATCTTGAAGACTGCGTGTTATGAAAGACGCCGCCTGCTTCATTTCTTTTGGCTGCGTTAGGTTTGACAACAAGCTGCCCTTCTGCAGAGATGCGTACCTGGGTCTCCTTGCATGGAGACAGCTAGCTCGTTTGGAGGACAGCCTTGGCTTAGCTTTGCTCCCACAAGGCCGCTTTCCTGCCGCTCCATTTTGTCTCGTGGTATCTGTTGGGGGGGGGGGGGGGGGAGGTGGAATTCCAAAATCTCCAACAGGACAGTGCCCAACCAGAATGGCACAAAATATTTGGAGTTCCCCAGGACCCTGAATCAGGAAATTAAATAAATTTGGCTGAGCACAGACCAGGTTAGATGTTTGGCAAATATTTGGAAATGCAGAACTTGTGGCTTTCACATCAAGCCACCCTCTCCACCCCACCTCAAAGTCTTTCTTTTTCCCTCCTACCTATTTTACTTACTATCCAGCTCCAGGAAGTGTCCTGGGGATCTTGAAAGCATGCTGCCTATTTTGCAACAGTTGGTCCAATTGAGGTTTTTGGAATTGTTCTGTTGGACAAATGCAGCACTCTTAAGTTTCTTGTCTGTGGTGAAGCTTTCAGAAGTCCCTTACACAACTCAGTCCTATGTTTGCCACACAAGTTCAGTAGGTCTTTCTCTGAGAGCTTAGAGAAATTCAGGTTTTATGAAATTGCAACTATAAACTGCCATCTGCTGAACTTCAAAAAATAATGGTTTCTCAGCATGCTTTGGAGCCTCACCCCACCTCTATTTTCATGTAATTCCAGAAAATCACTAACTCATCTGGAAAGAATTACTTGAGTGTTTCCACATTGCAAATCACACACCTGTATTTTTTCACCTGCATCACTGTTAAGGCATCATCTCAAGTATCCACTCCTTTGATTTTTCTTCAGCAGCATTCAGTGGAATCTGCTAATTATTCCTTATACATTCTGTTCCACACATATGATATGAAGGAAGTACATCCCTCCCACACACACAAACTAAGCCAAAAAGAAAAGAAAGTGAAATGAAAGAGAAGCTAGAACTGTAATACTAGAGTTGACTAAGCCTAATAAAATTTTGTTTTCATTTATAGCAGTTTCAGATTTCTCCCTGTTTCTACCTCCATACTCTACTGAACAAGCAGCTAAATGACAAGAGAAAGGCAAGCTCTGGAAACTTTGTTAGATTATTTATTTATTTATTTATTTAGAATTTCTCTTGGAAGGCTCGGGATGTGTTGCACTGCAAAATCAAAATTCTCTCTCTCGTTCTCAAAAAAAAAAAAACCCCAAAAGCAAAACCCCTTTGCCAAAACTGACCTTTATTTAGTTCATTGAACTAAAGAAGCCTAAGGGAATACCAATAAATGCCATTCATACAAGTTTTCACTGGATCAGTAGTATCTACTTGTATCTGTTCTCACTTAGAGGGTATCCAATCCAACTAGAAGCATGCATGCCAGGGAACAGCTATTACAATATGGAATCACAGTCTTGACTGTCAACCACAGAAAGACCTAAACCTATCAGAAATAACCCACATCCCAGAACATGCATCTCACTCTTAATATACCTCACCTAATTCTTTACCCAATTTTGCCCAACAACAGCTACTTGAACTGAACATGAAAAAGACCTTGGAGTTGTTGTAGACAAGAAGCATTATGAGCCAGCAAGGTGATGCAGCTGCAAAAAGGTCAAAGGTTATTTTGGGATACATATATAGAGGTATCACTTCCAGAACAAGAGAGCTACTAGTTCCCCTTTGCTCTGCCCTGGTCAGGCCTCACCAATACTGTGTTCAGTTCTGAGCACCCAAGTTTTTAAAAGATGCAGAAAAATTAGAAAGTTCAGAGGAAGACAACAAAGGTGACCCACAGTTGGGAAACCAACCCGTTTGATGGGAGACAGAGAACTGGGCATGTTCAGCCTCAAAAAGAGAAGGCTGAGAAGGGATATAATCACATTTAACAAGTACCTCCGAGGCTATCACAGAGAGGAAGGAAAAGATCTCCTTACTCATCTTTGCGTGTATGGAGCAACAAACTTCAACTGCAGCACACCAGGTTCAGGCTAGATACCAGGAAAAGCTTTCTAACTGCCAGAGCAATATGACAGTGGAACCAGTTGCCTAGGGAGGTCATGGACTCTCCCAATCTAGAGACATTAAAGGCAAAACTGAACAGTCATCTGAGTGGGATGGTGTAGCTTGACATCCTGCACCAGCAGAGGGTCATTCCCAATGGCCAACTTGGCCCCTTCCAATTCTGCTGTTCTGTGATTCCATGAACCATTTGTGTGTTGGGCTGACAACCAGCAAGAAATGAGAATTGTAATTTATGACCTGCACGGGGAAGAGTCCATAAGAACAAAAGTGGAGACCTACAGTATCTGACTAAGGGTCTATGTAGTCCAGCAACCTTTTTCTGGAGTGGCCAACCAGATGCCTTTGGGAAACCCATAAGCAGGACATGTAGGCATTAGTACATTTCAGTTTTCACTCTCCAACAACTGATTACAATCATGGCATATTGCAATCAATGTTGATGCAATATGTAGTTGCCATTGGGCTGCTTAGCACAATCAAACCAGTTGACAGTGGGTGCTTAAGCCATGGTGGGCAGCAGCCCATTCCAGAAGGTCTGGATATAATCAATGCCTGCCACAGCTTGTTATGTCACATAAACCTAAATGCTGTGGGTTATGTGAGGTTTAAACAAACTCACTGTATAGAACCAACAACAGCATAGAATGATTTCTCATATTTCCCAGAGTTCCTGGGTTCTTGCAACATGCACAACAAGCTGCGGTTATGTGTGGAATAGTCAAAATGGCCATATGCGTTCCCTGGCAAGTGCAAACTAGCTCACTGTGTGTGAAGAAGTGCTTGTGTCTCTCTTGAATCTTCCTTTATTCAGTTTCATTGAATGACCAAAAGTTCTTCTAATATGGGAAAAGGGAAAAAAGGTCCCTATTTGCTTTCCCTACATCATGGATAATTCAACTGTCTTCTAAGCTAAAAAGCCACAAGCATTGCTGCTTTTCTTCTTAGGAGAATTACTGTACTCCCTTAATCATCTTGGCTGTCCTTTTCCAGCTCTTAAATATCCTTTTTAAGGTGTAGTAACCCAGACTGTGCAGTATTCAAAGGGTGATTGCCCTATAGATTTTTACAAAGGCACTTTATACTGGTGCTTTAATATTTCATTCTCTTCCTGATGATCTCCAACATGGAATTTCCTGTTTTACGGTAGCCACACAATGCGTGGATATATTCCTTGAGCTATCTGCCATATTTGAAAATTCACCCCACCCACTTGGCAGCCTGCACTGATGTGAATAGATGTGTTTTACTCCTGTTAATTCCCAGTAGAGGGTGGACTTAAGGGGTTAATGCAGAGAGGGTAGATTTAATTCTTCCATTCCATTTCATGGTGGTCCCAATCTAAATCGGGGCCAATAATTCTTACACTAAAGTAAAAAAAAAAAAAAAAAGCTAAGCTTCAACTACCTCCTTAATGGCAGTACAATGTGTAGCTTGATTCTGCCTGCTATCTAAAGGCTGGGGAAGTGGCAAGTATTGAATGTTTGCTTCACATGCAGCTCTTAAAGGTCTAGAATGAAGATTCCCAGGAACAATTTGAATATGGCAGGAATAAAATCTCCAGGCTGCAATATCAAAGAGAAATTTTTGCAGCCACGGTACCATTACAACATTGCTCAGATGTAGCATGGGGATACAGCACGTGATACAAGGCTGTCACACATGAACCAGAGAGGGAGAAATATTTGCTGCATCCAATGGATAGCCATTAAATATTAAAACATTCTGTTTTATTGGCCTCTGTAGTGTTGCAAATTCATAGGGTGATCTGAAAGGAGATTAGTACTGAAGCAATGTTTCTTCCTCTCAGTCACTTGTTCTGCTGAATTGCAGGTGTTATCATTGTTCAGCCTTGGATACTTTTGCATAGTTTCTGTTTGTTTATTCAATTTATTTCTTGCTACATGGTTCAGAAAGCCTGAGGGTGGCTCTGTTCTGTTCATAGTCTTGTAGCTGTACTTTGCCTTGTGTTTTTCTAACTGCTTATTCAAAGTGCTACCAAACATTGTGCATTCACAACAATATGTACATTCAGTTAGTTACCTCCAGAAACTAGCAGTATTTTACATGTTAAGGTCCTAATAAAAGAATCAAAACTTGTCTCTCTTTCTATAGGATGTATCCCCTAGAAAGTGTACACAGGAATACAGCCATAAATAGTTGGAAAGGGGGATAAAGAGATTTTAAGAAGTCAAGATATAATTAATGACAGAGAACAGACAGGCAAAAATGGGGAATTTGAATGGAGGAAAAAAAAATACTGCCAGAATGTACAGGAATATCAATTTAACTGGGCCTAAAGTGGTGTGACATGGGAGCTGATCTCATGGAAGGGAGAAGGGTGACCACACTTCAAAG